AAGTTCTGACAAGAGAAAACGTAGATGAATTGCTTTACGAGACACGCTGAAGCCAAATTTGTCGGGAAATTCAGCGAAAAGACGTTGCAGGAGAGTGCTTTTGCCTACGCCGGAAGGACCAGACATGAGCAATGGGCGAGCAAAATGCGACATGACGGTCCTCGGATCTAGTGCGACAGCGAGACAAAGGAGTGTATGAAGCGAGATGAAGAACAACAATGACTTTGAATACGGGTTAGGTTGTTTCGACCTTGATACATACAGCAAATAAACTACCTTCCTTAAGTGGGGATAATCTTGGAATTATTTTTGTTCTTGTGATCGCCCCCGGATTTCTGTCGTTGCCAAACGTCACAACGGTCACAGGCACTGATGCGCTGAAACTGGTCACGCCGCAAGTCTACGCTGTTTCCGCGACCACCACCACCACCTTTCCTTTTCTTCCTCCTTTGCGGTCCTCCGTCCTGTATCCTCCTCCTCCCCTCCTCCTTCCGCCATTTTCTCCCTTTAACTGACCAGCCTGTAGCACGACCTTTAACGACCATCATGGGCGCCGTCTGCTGCCGACCCACAGTACGTGCTATAATTATCCCGCATGCAGCTCCAGCTGATTCATACCCCGATATACAGCCCATAGACTTTGACGGCGACGTCAATCTCTTCCATTTCGTGCTCTTGCGGTGTGTAGGCAAAGGTGCATTCGGCAAGGTTGGATATCCTATTCTCTAAACTGCGAGTCTTGGCTGAGGTATTTGGATCACCCGACCCGTCCATAATAGGTTCGAGTTGTCCAGCACAAACAGACCCGCGACCTTTACGCTCTCAAGTACATTAACAAGACGAAATGTGTAAGGATGAAAGCGGTAGCGAACATAATACAGGAGAGGCGCCTGCTTGAGGAGGTGCGATGCAACTTCCACAGAATGTCGTACTTGATGCTGATATAAATATTCATGCCTCCTAGATTGACCACCCATTCGTGGTAAATCTGCGGTACGCCTTTCAAGATGACGAGAACTGTTTCTTTGTCCTCGATCTTATGTTGGGTGGCGACCTCCGATGTATGTCAGCTCACCGCTATCCTGCGTATCAATAATTCTCACTTATGAGCCATGTGACAGTTCACCTTGAACGACTTGGGTCATTAACGGAGGAGACCGTGCGCTTCTACGTTGCCGAAATTGCGTCGGCGCTAGCGTTCCTTCACGATAAGCGCATTATACATCGGTATGTATCTGCTATAAGCTTAGATTGTCGCTTTGTTGTAATCATTAACTTATCGCATGATGTAGGGACTTGAAACCGGACAACATTCTTTTAGACGAGCGGGGACATGCTCACATCACTGACTTCAACATCGCTGTTCACTACTCCGAACGACGATTGCTCACCGGTGTAGCAGGATCGATGGCTTATATGGCCCCAGAAATCCTTGCAAAGAAGGGTTACACATATACGGTCGATTGGTGGTCTCTAGGTGTCTGCGCCTATGAACTCATTTTTGGACGTCGGCCCTTCCGCGGGAAGACAAACAGCGACCTTACACACAGCATCTCGAAGGACCACCTGCGATTCCCAGAAGATGCAGAGACCAGATGCAGCAGACCGGGGTTGCAAGCCCTGAAATCAGTGAGTCCATCACTCTTGCCGGCGTCGCGAGTTGCGCCTCAAGCGCTCGAGTGACTCTTGAGCTGCATTCGGGCATGTCTATCTGAATAAGCAGAGAGCTCACTCGATGTTTGAAATGTGTTGCTGACTGACAAATGCACCAGTTCCTTGACCGTGACCCTTCACGGAGACTTGGATGTAAACCGAACGGTGAAGGTTTCGCGGAATTGCGAAGGCATCCATGGTTCCAAAGCATTGACTGGGATACTTTGGAATCGAAGGAACAGACGTCGCCATTCATACCAGATGTATGTCTCTCGTTGATTTGTAACATGTGATTGGCCGTGAGCTCACGCTTGACGTCTATCAGTCCAAGAAGGCTAACTTTGATGCGTCACACGAACTCGAGGAGCTTTTGCTTGAAGATAATCCGTTAAAGGCTCGTCAACGCAAAGTCCAAGATATCAACAACCTCAGCGCCGAAATGCGCCAAATGGAGGAACAGTACGTGCCACACACTACGCAGCGAAAAGCAGCTAACAGCCGTACCTTGTGACTAGGTTCACATCATATGACTTCAAGAAGATGGCGCGCCGGTCCTATTATCCGACTAACCAGCAGATCATCTCTATAGCTACATCATCTACGGCTGCTTCCAGACCTGTTACGCCTGGCACCGAAGTGGAACAAATCGACAGTGTGAACGGCGTTGGTTTTGGACAAAAGCAGATGCAAGCACCGGAGGAGCACGGAGCAATCCAGATGGAGGACATCAACAATGAGAAAGCTTATGCGGTGTAGATCGTGCAAGCTTACTTTTTCGCTCCTTCCTTCGACGTGCTACGGCCAACTCTGTAGTGCTCGTGATGTCACTCCATTTCTTTCAGGGACCTTCGGATTTTCTTGGTTCACCCTTGTCCATGCTGGCTGGCTGTGCCCTTCGTCTCATGCCACGATCCTATCCTCGCATATATCCCTATTTCTATACTGTCATAATATTTCCGCCACACGCGCATCCCTACCCTTCATTGCATGTTTTCTGAATGTCATTATATACCTTCTTTCACTGGTTTCTTCCAGTCCTGACTTGTGGCTATGTCAGGAGTCTTCGGGACCCTCAAGCACCTGGTAGTCCTTGTACCGAAGCGCACCCAGACATACGCTGTTGCTCAGAGCTTGCCGGTGTACTCTACTTACCTTTTGCCCATGCATGGTACTCATTTGGCCATATCAACGCACTCTTAATGACAGTTACCCGCCCTCCATGTCTTTCCTTAGTAGTATTCCTGTATTCGTTGCTTTACTTGTGTTATTGGATCCGATCAAGTAACAGTCCCACGTCTGTCACTCCTCACGTCGGATCGTACACCAAGTCATGATCACATCTGATTATACAGAACGCGAGGCCGGCAAGTGTTTCACGAACGAGAATTATAATTTTATTCACTGCATCCTAGCCTTGCCCTTGTCTGGGCTCTTGGTAAATACCGCCTCTGGTGCCGCAGGTTCCAACTTCACAGCGTTCGCCCTCTCAAGCTTCCTGGCTTGGGGTGACAATTGATTATTCTGCTCGTCCACCTTCGTAACTTGCGCCTTCAGCGGAGCAGACGTCCGTGACGTGACCATAGTATAGAGGATCGAGCCCAAAAAGACCATGCTTGCACCAGAGCCCAGCTGGAAGTTCCACCCGTTACCAAACCACCACACGCTAAAGCACAAACTAATGGCTTTACGCATTGTGAGAACAATATTAGTTGATACCGAGGATACGCGCTATTGTTCCGCCTGTTGAGCACATGAGGGCATCATGCAAGAAGGAATCACGTACCGATGTCATTTGATTCACACCAGATACACAAACTAGCTGTGTTATGAGGTTCATGGCCAGCGTGAGATAAGGGCGAGGGTCGAATTCGGCGGAAGGAGGGACATCGAGGAAATCCATTAGATGCGCCTTGGCTAATACCAAGAGTCGCATGATAAGGTGTTCTGAGTAATCGTCATTATGGCCGTCATCTGCGAAAGTAGCTGCTTGGACAGAGGGAGCAATGGAGGCGAGACTAAGCGATTTGAAACCTCGCTTGACGCTAGGTATGAGCAACAGGAATATGGGTAAGGAAAGGGCGTGCTGTTCCAGCATATTTCAGCGGGCAGATCCAACGTGAATCATGAAAGATGACCCACGGTGTAAAATACCCCCTCCTGCCAGCAAGGTCCATATATTGTATAAGCTCGTTCCTGGAGCAGACCTAGTACACCTGTCAGCCCTAGCGAGACAGTGAGCATGATGACGCCAGTAGTATATTGGGAAACGTCGATGGAAGAATTATTTGATGCAGTGGGTCGCGAGGTTGTAGCAACAATAACACCAAGAGTTACAAGTAGTACTGCGCCCTGCAGAAACTCGTTTAGAGAATTAGAATCGCGGTTTAGTCATTGGCAGCTCACAATTTGCGAGGATGAATATCGCTTGGCGAGGAAGACACGTCCAAAGAGCATGGATACAGCGAGTCCTGATTGGAATCTCGTAAGTAAACCTAAACCCCAGGGTTGAATTTACATACCGGCGGACCGGAAAATTATCAATACAGTTAGCGGAACTGAGAAGCCATAGGCCCAATTATTGAACAGGGAGCCACTTGTGAGTACCAGTACTTGGAGGGCCCACTGTGAAATGGGAACTTGGCGGGGTTTCAGGGATAATGTTGGTATGGAAATGGGTATGGGTAGCCAGTTAAGCCGACGCCACATGAGAAACGATGGAAGGGCAAGGAGGGTTACGAAGACCATTTGTGAGAATGTAAGGGCCGTTCCTAGACACATCACACACCGACTTGGGTTTCACGATATGGTAGAATATCGAATAGGCGCACCTAAGTGGGGATCCAACTTCAGCAGGTACTCGTAGGTGTACACGTTCCTGGGAAATAGCGATGGTCCTAGTCAATATGGCCCAGGTCGTTTGGGGATGCAGGACTCACGAGCAGCAGCCACCGAATACAAGAGTCAATACATAGGAGAAGTCGACAAGCGACATTGCCACAGGCTTACTGAGTTGCGGCGGGGGATCCTCTTGTGCCTCCTCCTTCACTCGTACGGGCGACGGGTCACGGCTGCCACCACTGCTTTCTACTCGCGCATTTCCAGCGGCGACGCGGTTCCGGGGAGCACGAAGGACCATCTCTGCCAGCATACGGTTGGTACGCTCTGCTCGATGTTCGCTTGGTGGACGTCGTCGCTTGTTCATGATCAATTGAACCTCCACGGCGCTGTAGCAAGTTTCCCGCGATGTCGAATAATCAGCATGCAGCGTAATGGCCAGAAGCTGCGATGTCATTTGCGCGCTCCGCTGATGATGCCGTTATCTCTGTACCAATGTCTCTTCCATTCGATCCCTGGTAGTATATCGGTTAGTACACGCGCCTGTCAACTTCTGCTGTTCGCGCGAAAGCGGGGTTCGACTCCCCGCCAGGGAGATATTTTTCTTTAGTTCCGCACGCACAAGAAGCGCTGTACCTGCACTACACAGTGATTGTTCCTTTGCTGCTTTTCCAGTGCCTCCACGCAAGAACCCTAGCTACACAGAGTTCACAGGTCCCACACGTTGTGACCGTCCTGTCTTTCCTCTCCACGTTTGGATATCCCCATATATGATATAGCTCGGCTCTCCCCATAACACACCTACGTCTGCACACCTGGAGTATCTACACATTTCATCGCCATGGCGGAACGACCCAGCGCCAGCCGTGAAGCCAGTCTCAAAGAAGAGCAAGACGTTGTAGAGATGAAAAAAGCTATCGCAACTGGCACGGCAAAGGAGTTGCCCACCGCGTCGACAGGTACGCCAAGTCGACTGTTGGCCGTCCGCCTTCTCATGCATGCTCTCCATCTGTATCGGTCGTCCTACGGGCTCGTCTTCGACCTGCAGTCGCGCCAATAGTATGCTACTGCATTGCATCCATTCTTATGACAGTGGTCAATAAGGTGCGTAGTCTGTTGAATTATACAATACCTGTACTCAGATGTACCTGTCTGTATCGTTGCAGTTCGTTGTTTCTGGAGATTTATTCAACATGAATTTCTTGGTGCTATGTATACAGTCCGTTGTGTGCGTATCATGCGTCGCACTGGTGAAGAAGCTGGGCATCATCTCTTTCCGCCAATTCGACATGAACGATGCGAAGGCGTGGTTCCCTATCAGCTTTCTACTCGTGAGCGTCATTTATACAGGTTCGAAGAGTTTGGTGAGTAATTGCGTCAATGCTAGGTGACGTATGTACTGAACAGCGTTCTTAGCAATATCTTAGCATCCCAGTTTATACCATCTTCAAGAATTTGACTATCATACTCATTGTACGTACACAGGCGCTCCGTTTCTTTCAGTAGCATCTTATCGTTCCTGACAGGCATATGGTGAAGTCATCTGGTTCGGTGGACGCGTAACCGGCCTCACGCTGGTGTCGTTCTTCTTCATGGTAGAAGCCTTCCACGCACATCTCCGTTATTCCTATTCACACGGTTTCTAACTCTGGCAGGTTCTTTCCTCTGTAATCGCTGCATGGGCGGATGTCCGGGATACTCTGGCTGAAGCAGACCCCGCCGTCGCAGAGGGAATAGCATGGAGCGCCTCTGGTATTGTCCGCTCACTCAATGTGGGCTACCTTTGGATGATGGTTAATTGTCTGTCAAGTGCTGCTTACGTGCGTAACTCGTTCATCTTGGTCCACTATACATATAAGAAACTTGGGTGGTTTAGTATTCTGATATTGACTTGTGAATGTTCATAGGTACTTGCAATGCGCAAGCGGATTAAAGTGACGGGTTTCTCCGATTGGGACTCAATGTTCTACAACAACTTACTCTCGATTCCTGTACTGGCCGTGTTCTCAGTCATGACGGAAGACTGGTCGCACAAAAACTTGGTACAAAATTTGTGAGTGTTCCATTGTTGTGTTGCTGTTGATGGTGCGAGGGACTGATTATGTATCTCAATCCTATCAGCCCCGAGCAAACGCGCAACTTCCTTCTTTTTGCAATAGCTTTTTCCGGTGCTGCTGCTGTTGGCATCTCCTACACGACAGCTTGGTGCGTGCGTGTTACAAGTAGTACCACGTATAGGTAACAAATATCTATCTATTCTTTGGAAATATTGTTCCTAACATTTACCCCTTTCAGCATGGTCGGTGCACTCAATAAACTGCCTGTTGCTGCGTCAGGCATGATTTTCTTTGGCAACCCAGTCACGTTTGGCTCTGTATCAGCCGTGAGCGTCGGGTTCTTCGCAGGGTTGATCTACGCGGTCGCCAAGAACAACCAAAAGAAATCGGATGCAACGGCCCAGCAGAACGTGTTGCCTCTCACGACACGCAACTCGTAACACCTCGTGCCCTGGCTCCTAGACACGTTCTTGAGCTCCGTAATCGATTATCTTTATATGAGAGGGGTGTAATGCAGCACAGATTAGAAGCCAGGACGATGTCTTCTTAGTATGTGCTCTCACTGTAGATCCACTGGATTCACACTATTTATGTATTCTAGGCAGACCCCGTCAACATAGAAGCCGAAACAGTGTACCGTACCAATGACGATATCTCGTACGTTGTATGAAGTGGATATCAGTAACGCGGTGGCGAGATCTCGGCTAGTCTGGTCAGCTGAGTGTCCGACGAGCATCCAGATAAAAATGTTCGATGGATCGATTCGCGGTCAGAGATAATGGCCAAGTCGCAGCTAGAGGGGAGCTGGGGTGTGTATCCTGTTCGTTTAGTCCCTCACCAAGTGTCGAGGCGGGCGGTGGCGGTCGGAATAAGACCTGTGGATACTGTGCGGATGCACCGCGTTAAGTCCGCCCAGCAGGGTCAGAGGGAGGGCGGATGAGACTGATATGAGTGGACGAGGTCTACAACCGCGATCGTGAGCGGTCGTGATGTTGCGCTCTAGTAACGCTAGCGCAAGATTGCGGTAACTGCCGCTCGTACGCGACTTATATCTAGTGCACCTCCCACTGTGTGTATCTCCTCCGCCCTCCCGTGCCTGCATCTCTCTCCTTTGTCATTTTCTTCTCACCGCACAACACGTCCGACGACGACAAACAACCCTTCGGCCGTCGCTAGCGTCCAGTAGCAGTCGTCGAATTAGATCCGCCTCCCCGCGATCTCCGCTGGTCGCGCCTAGATAATTTCAACATCGATCTCTCGTTCTCGTGACTCGTCGACGCACTCCCTGAACAGAAATCCCTCTCTGCGACTTGACCAACACCCTCCACAACCATGGCTACCGCAGGCAACACGTTGCACCCGCCGAGGCTGGCACCCATCTTCGCGGTTACGCCGAGTGCGCCTGGCACCCCGGTGCATTCCATCCAAACGATGCGCCGCAAGTCGGCGGGCCACTCTGGCCCATTGACCAAGATCCTAGTCGCGAACCGTGGCGTATGTATATTATCATCGCGCATATAGCCGTACAGCACTTACGTCGCGTTCTGGATGTCGCATCCACGTCTGTTCTTGTAGGAAATTGCCATCCGTGTTTTCCGCACTGCGCATGAACTCGCGATGCACACAGTAGCCATTTATTCTTTCGAGGATCGTTTGTCTGCTCATCGTCAAAAGGCATGATTGAATCACTTTTGTGCCCAGGAAAAATCTGACAACGGGCATCGCTAGGCGGATGAGGCGTACCAGGTTGGCAAGGGTCTGACGCCTGTTGGAGCGTATCTCGCCCAGGATGACATTATTCGAATTGCCCTCGAACATGGCGTGGACATGATTCACCCCGGGTGAGTCTGGAGATCCGACGAAAATATGCGTGCACTTATTTGGGCCTGGATCTAGCTACGGATTCCTTTCAGAGAATGCTGAATTCGCTCGCAAAGTCGAGCAAGCTGGTCTCGCGTTTGTGGGACCCAGCCCCGAAGTCATCGACTCACTTGGTGATAAGACCAAAGCCCGTACTATTGGTGACTATTTTGTTCACATATATGCTATATATTCGAGATTAACACCCTATACATAGCTATACGGATTGGCGTGCCGGTTGTGCCTGGTACACCTGGCCCGGTCGAGACCTACAAAGATGCCGACGCCTTCATTCAGGAATACGGGTTCCCGGGTGAGTAACTTCGTTCGTATATGCATACTTGCTTGAATTCAAACCCAAAGACGGGAATCTGCAGTGATCATCAAGGCTGCCATGGGCGGAGGTGGACGTGGTATGCGAGTTGTTCGTGATGCGTCAGACTTCAAATCGTCCTTTGAGCGTGCAGTTAGCGAAGCCAAGGCCGCCTTCGGAGATGGCACAGTCTTCATTGAACGCTTCCTCGAGCGCCCCAGACACATCGAAGTACAGCTTCTTGCCGATGGACAAGGAAACACGATCCACTTGTTTGAGCGTGACTGCTCAGTTCAGAGGAGACACCAGAAAGTCGTTGAAGTCGCGCCCGCTACTCATCTACCGGAGGAGGTCCGCCAGGCGATCTTGGCCGACGCTATCAAACTCGCAAGGAGTGTAGGGTACAGGAATGCTGGTACTGCGGAATTCTTGGTAGATCAGATGGGAAGACATTACTTCATCGAAATCAACCCTCGTATTCAGGTCGAGCACACCATCACTGGTTAGTCAAGTTCGTGTAAGTCACTGTGTTCAGGCACTGACTATGGCATTCTCCAGAGGAGATCACTGGCCTTGATATTGTGGCAGCACAGATCCAGATCGCCGCCGGTGCTACTCTTCCTCAACTTGGTCTCACTCAAGACGCCATCACTAAGCGTGGTTTCGCTATTCAATGCCGTATCACCACCGAGGACGCGGCTACTGGCTTCCAGCCCGACACTGGTAAAATTGAAGTATACCGCAGTGCTGGTGGCAACGGCGTTCGTCTCGATGCCTCATCAGGCTTCGCAGGAGCTCAGATCACGCCGCATTACGACAGTTTGCTGGTGAAGTGCACTGTTAGTGGTACCACCTACGAGGTTGCCCGCAGGAAGATGTTGAGGGCCCTGGTCGAGTTCCGTATCCGAGGTGTCAAGACGAACATCCCATTCTTGTTCCGTTTGCTCACGCATGACGTCTTCATCGGCGGAAAGACCTGGACTACCTTTATCGATGACACGCCCGAGCTCTTTAAGCTCGTCCAGAGCCAGAACCGCGCCCAAAAGCTGCTTGCGTACCTCGGCGATCTTGCCGTCAATGGTAGCTCCATCAAAGGCCAGGTCGGGGAGCCCGGTCTCAAGGACGACGTTATCGTTCCCTCCTTCCAGAATCGCGAAGATCCCGAGAACGGCCCTCCCCTCGATGCCTCTCTTCCCTGTGAGCAAGGCTGGCGTAATATCATCGTGGAGCACGGTCCGGAGGCGTTTGCAAAGGCAGTGCGCGCGTACCCTGGCGTGCTCATCATGGACACGACCTGGCGTGATGCGCACCAGTCGCTTCTGGCTACGCGTCTGCGTACGATCGACATGGTCAACATCGCGAAGGA